GATACTAAATATAAACAGGCAACTTTTTCCCATCCAAGTTCAGACGCCAGGTTAAGAACACAGGTGTTATAAAATATCACCACCTCCTGCCCCAAAACTACTGATAAAAGCCATTTAAAAACTGTCACACCAGCACTCCTTTATTTTATTCTTTCCCTCTGGCTTCTTTCAAGATTTTCTTTTGGTCTTTGGTTTTCTGCAGTTAGACTATGCTCTGCCTAAGTGTTGTGTTGTTTTGTTTTGTTTTGAGTTTATCCTGCTTGGTGTTTTCTCAGCTTCCTGGGTCTGTGGTTTGGTGTCTTTCATTTTGGAAAGTTCTCAGCCATTATCGCTTGAAGTATTTCTTTTGCTTTTTTCCTTCTGCTATCCCGATTACACACGTTATACCTTTCGAATCCCACGGTTTCTCAATGTTCTGTTTTTTCTATTGTTTTCTCTCTGCATTTCAGTTTGGGAAGTGTCTACTGACTTATCTTCAGATCGACTGATTCTTTCCTAAATTGTCATGTCTACGGAGAAGCCTATGGAAGGCATGCTTCATTTCAATTACAGTGATTTTGATTTTTTGCATTTCCTTTTGATTCATAGCATTTCCATTTCTCTGATCACATTACCCTTCTGTTCTTGTATGTTTTTATCCATTAAAACTTTTAACATATTAATCATAGTTATTTTAAATTCTATTTCACAATTCCAACATCTGTGCCATTTCTGACTGGTTCCTGATGATCGCTTTATCCTTGCAGACTGTTTCTCGCCTTTTGGCATGCCTTGTAATTTTTTGTTCAAAGTCAGACATGTTGCATTGGATAACAGAAACTGAGGTAAACAGGCTTTGTGTGTGAAGATTTATGGTACTCTGGCTAGGGAGTAGATGTGATCAATGTTTGCTAAAGATACAGTACCAGGTGCTTCAAATTCCTCTACTGCCTTTGTTTTTGCCTCTCTCTGAAGTTTGGGTTTCCCTAATTACTCCTCCTCAGAGTCTGTCCTGCAGCTGTAATCCGTTATGGCTGTACTGGAGCCGTGTGGTGTGATAAAGTGGGGAGGGCATTCTATCATCTCCAGATTAAATCTCAGGGGTTCAGTGGGTCTGTGACCTTCATAAGTGTTTCCCCAGTGGTACAGCTTTCTCCCTCTGCCCCTTCCTCCCTTCTCTGGCTGCAGCATTGCCAATCTATTTTCTTAAGTCTTGACTCCTGTGGACTATGTGGGTCTTTTTCTCCCTTAGGTGAGACAGGAAGGCTGGAGGGGGCTGGTGTGGGAAGAATGCCCTCCCCCTAGCTGGAATAAGGCTCTGGCAAAGTCTTTTACCCTGGAGAGAAGGCCTATTGTAATAAAGAAGGTTCTGGGTGTGTTTCACAATAATTAGTCTTCTCCTCTCCCTGTCAGAGCCACATGGGGATCTTTCTCGATCTTCACTGTGGGAGTCTGGTGGGGTTCCTGGACCAGGAAAGTGTGGGGGCCCCTCTAAGACTGTGGTCTCCAAGTTTCTGTCATGTGATACCACACTCAACCTCCAGCAATTCATCAACCTTAACATCTAAGTATCCCTACCAGTTTATGGCTCCAGTAGCTTGTGCACCAGGTAAACAGATTTTGGCTGTCTCTCTCAAGATGAGTCTCTCTCTCTCTCTCCAGATTGTGGGACGGTGGTTTGCCCTGCAACCTCAATTCTCTGATAGGTGGATCCAAGAAAAGTCACTGATATTTAGTTTGTCCAGCTTTTTCTTGTTCTAAGGATAAGGGTGCCAACTTTTAAGTCTCTTGACATGTCAGAGCTGAAACCAGAGTCCCCTTTATTTTGAATGGCCATTCCTTCCCTCCATCTGCACTGCCATGCCCGTTCTCGTCCTCACACTTGCCATGGCTCCTATCGGGCTGTACTATCAGTTAGTCATCATGACAGTGTACTAACAAGACTGAGTGTCTTCAGAAAATGGCCCATGTTTAACCTTTGGTCGATTTTAACACTTTGCACATAACAAATACTTAGTGTTGCTGGTTTATATCCCTTTACAGCACTCATTTTGACAGTAAAAAGCATCTGTGGTGACATATTACCCAGCATCCTCCAAATTTCCTTTTGTGCTTTTTAATTAATTTTCCTGGTCTCCAAATCAAGGTCTTATTTTGTTAGCAAGGTTGGACTAAGGCAAACTTCACTTACTATAAATCAAGATTTACAAAAGTAATTTCTTGATATCTGATTAAGCCCTTTTTCATGATTTCCTTATCTCTTTTTGTAATGACTTAAGTAGCCACGTTAAGATCAAATCTGACCAAATTCCAGGAAGTCAAAGGGCCTCCTAGCTAAGTGCCCAAATCTAGCTGTTTCAGAATTATCTGGGAAGCTTTAAAAAAAATCCTGGACTCAGTCTTGAGAGAGTAATTGTGGTACACAGCTAAGTTGAGGAAAATAAGATACTTCTGATCAGCAAGCACTTCACGACCAAAAGTGCTTTTTATAACCACATTTAAAATCAACCCAAAAAACATTATCCATTCATTCACTTGTGTTCAGCCTAGAAGACATAGGAAAGGTTACTGAAAATTTACCCTTTCATTCATTCAATAAAGTTTTGAGCATGAAGTAAGGGCTGAATATCAAGCTGCAGGCCCTGACCACAAGAAGGAAGTGCACCCGAGCACGGCCTCCAGAGTCAGACATCCTCATGGTCTAACTCCAGAGCCACCGCATCCGGGAACCTTGAGCATGCTTCTTAAGCTTGCAGAGCCTCAGTCTTCTCACCTATAGAGGATGAGATTACCTATTTCTGAGGGACGTTCTGTGACAGAGATCACAGAACTACTACTAAGATGACTTCTACTCTCTATTCTCCTACAACAGTTTCTCACTTGTTTCCCAGTCCAAACACTTACTGTACTAATCACTGCTAGCATGCACTGAGCAGTTATCCTATACGCCGGGCAGTGTGCTAAGTTAAGTTCTCTGTCTGTCCATCCATACCTGAAATTTCATCTGTAAAGGCCTAGGGCCCAGCAGCCTCCTTCTTTCATTGGCATATTCACTCCAAACAGGCAAACTGAAACAACAGGACAAGAACTTCTAATCTAGAGTGGCCTATAACAAGAGGGCTGAGGTGCAAACTCAGGGGATGTAATAAGGAGGAGATGCTCCCCTGCACCACTCCCTAGAGAGGTCACATCATTACTAAGGGTCATGGTGGCAGAACCTCCAAGCAGGAAACCAAACAGCAGAGAAACCTATCTGGGAGCTGTCATGGGTTTAGTACCATTTGCTGTTTCACTACTGTATCTATGATTACCGCTGCCATCAGATAACTATTAATAAGCTATTACATGTCCCAGACACTGCTGTTCTATGGATTTCAGATTTAGTCCTCAACAACTCTAAGTTACTGAAGGTATCACTGATGTTGACCCTTTACCACTGGCAGGACTTGAGACAAAGGACTTACTTACTGAGAGGACACAGAGCCTGCAACTCTGGCTGCATAACTCACTGCCAAATTAACATCTACTCTTTTAGGAAGACTCTTAAGGGCTTCTAGAACCTCCTCCTATGTGGCTTGAGTTAACAGCACTTGCATTTTACTTTACAGGATTAAAAGCGTAGTTTTAACATAGACCATGTTTTCAATTCTGTGAGAGATGACCCCGAAAAGTACCCTCCTACATTAGGCAAAAACATGTTACCTGGAATAGGCAACTTTTTGCCTAAATTAAAATCTTCAACTTTCTGAGAGCATGTCTGCCCTTAGGAAACTGCAGAGGTTAAAAGGAAGCTGGCCAGTACCACCATCCTAAACCACATGATTCCCTTGTCTGTAAGTGATTCAACTTAAAAGCATTCCACAGTGAGTGGAAACCTCGGCACTGCTGGCATTTGCTATAGTAGGGGCTGTTATGTGCATTCTGGGAGGTTTCACGGCATCTCTAACTTCTACCCACTAGATTCTAGGGGCTTTCCCCAGTTGTGACAACCAAAAATGTTTCGGGACATTGCCAAATGTCCCCAGCAGGCAAAATCGTCCCTGGTTGAGACCCACTGCATTAGAGAAATTATTCTGTTTAGCAGAGTTACCATTACTCCAGTCTGCATACCAAAAACTGACGGCCTCTGATTATACTTCTCTAGCTCACTGAAATAAAATCCAGATGTTTAGCTTTGTGCCTTCCTAATTTATATTAACTAAAAAGTTCAGTATTATGGAAATGTGAAATACTGTGTAACAACAAAAGGCCTTATAGGGCAGCTCTGACTTCTTCCTATGATTTCCAATCTGCTTGGTGGACTTCGTACTTTGGCCAAGACCTAAGCTGGTTTCCTCTCAATGGACTGACTCGAGGCAATGCCTCTGGAGTGGGAAGACAAACTTTCCTTAGCCTGGGCTTTACCTCTAGGTCACAATGAGGCCCCAAATCACCAGAGGTTGTGCAGATTCAAACTAGAGACCACATACTGGCTGCAAAGGTCTGCTGACAACACAAGTTAGGCTGCAAGGAGTCACGGATTTTCTGGTTTCTTATCATTTATACAAGTCAGGCTAGAACACTGTGCCCTTCTCCCTTGGTTAAAGAGGATAAAGTGTGCCACTATCCCAAGCCAAATGAAAGAGAAAACACGAATCTGCTGACTAAGAAAAGGCTTATTTCACCTTTGCTGAGTTTGTTTAAACAAGTCACTCAAATTAACTGGGAAAAAAATTCTTCTGAAAAGTAAGAGGCATGGTATTGACTTAAAAGGCCCTTTAAAAAGAATGACTTGAGATGCACAAAGTGCTTCATAAAGACTCAATAAGCTTTAAGGAATGCTTTATTTAGTACATCACTTTTTTTGTTGTTTAAAAGAAAATACCACATTCAAAGGGTGGTGGCATATTTGATATCACCACTGTTTAAAGAGGACTGGAGTTACAGGAATGAGAAGTATATAATTAGGAAATAATCCTTCTCAATAAGTAGTTAAGTTGGAAAGCCATAAAGGGAAAAAAGAAAAGCCGGAGGCAACACGATCTGCATATCAGAAATGCATTTTTATTTTTATCTGAAAACAACTTAAATTTTTAGACAAATGATTTTAGTATATAAATTTGATTTTGTTTTATACAGAATATAAAGATTTCCCTCCTTGATCTTCCAGATGAAGGGAGCTACTCTGCACACGAGTGTGTCTCTTACATGTAGGGTAGGGAACCAATGGTGTAGTGCTCCTACACATAAATCAGGTCATGTGACATCACATATTAAAAAGGGGATAAGAGAAATATTCTAGTTAATCAGATTCAAGAAGCAAACATGACACAAAAACTGTGCAGATAAGACCAAGCCAGTAACTTTAGTTAGGACACTGCAGGTTATACTGGAATAACAGGTTTGTGAGGCTATAGTGTGCACCACATTCAAACAGCACAGAGAGCTATTTCTACAGAAAGGCCAGAATGAGGGATTTTCACTAAAGCAAATTAACTTCTTGTCAACTGCCAAAACAAAACAAAACAAAACTGAGCATATGAGTGTTAGTATACTGAAGGCATGTTATACCAGTTTCTGTGCAGCATGCTTACAGCTAGTTAGAACTTCTTCACTGGTGCATATGAATCATTAATAGTCACGGAAAGGTTTTTTTGCCCCTTCTCACCAAATTTCAGGCATGTCTTATTTTAGATGGAGTATAGCTTTTATCTATTATTTCATCCTGTAAAAACATGTGAAGACAACGTTCATTTTGTGCCAGAGGATGACCAGCGACCCTAGAAATAAAAAACACAAATTTAGTCCGATATTTTATAAAAGTGGGAGAGGAGGATCAAACACATATATTAAGGGTAGGAAGCATGTACAATTTAGTAACAGTAAGTGTTATTCTGGACTGCCCATAAAGCCATGCTCTGTCAACTAATAGTATATTTTCTCTCCCTTGGTTCACCACAGTAATTTAGAAAACATTTAATCACTAATTTAGCACTGCTTCTGGCATATGTATCCAATTAGCTTCTTTAAATATTAGTTGGTATATTAACAAGAAACCTAAATAAATTTTAATGTTAAAAATGAAACACATAGGGCCGGCTCAGTGGCACAGTGGTTAAGTTCGCACACTCTGCTTTGGAGGCCCGGAGTTCGTGGGTTCTGATCCCAGGTGCGGACCTACACACCACTCATCAAGCCATGCTGTGGCGACATCCCACATACAAAACAGAGGAAGACTGGCACAGATGTTAGCTCAGCAACAATCTTCCTCAAGCAAAAAAGAGGAAGACTGGCAACAGATGTCAGCTTAGGGCTAACCTCACCAAAAAATAACAAGAGAAACATGTCCTTGATTCTAAGAATCCATTTTAAAGAAGGAAAACATAAGATTAGAGATAGAAATACACTGAAGTTTAACAAAAGCCAAAAAAACCTAAGAAACAGGCACAAATGTCCAGTTTTGTTTTTGTTTTCTTTGGTTGCTTTTAAAGGTTTCCATCACAGACTGAACACAAGATCAGACTGGGCAACCAGACTTCTCAGAATTGAAAAACATCTAAGCCAGCACTGCCTTCTCCAAAAGGATAGTATGTTCATAAAAAGACAACAAAGGTTGTGTGCTACAGTAGATAAGTAAAAGTTAAAGGCTTTGTACAACTTTCCCTTGTGTTTACCAGTCACGGATCTTCAAATTACTAGATAAAATTAAAGTGTTGCTAATAAGTAAGTTCACATAACTATTTCATTAGGATTTGACTTTATTTGGTTAAATTCAGGCCAATGCACAATTACAGTGAGCTCCCTCCTGGCATAACTCTTATTACTTTGGCTTTTAAAAAAATGGTTCTATTTCACATAGGAATAAAATTAAAAGCTAGAAGTTTTGGGTTGAGTTTATTAAGAGTTTCTAAAGCAAAAGATAAATGATCCCAAGTGTTCTCACATTTTCAAAGGAATACATTTTGCCATGAACACCTTTACACAAGACATGCTGATAACACCTCCATCTGCAATCAAACAAAATGACTGCGAGTGCATTGTAAGTTTTATTGTTTATGCTAGAACATATCTTAAATCAGAAAGAATCATAAGTACAACTGTGTTTTTTAAATGCTGTAATTTTAAGTGTAATTTGCATAAATTAACGAAGAAAAACAAATACAAAACTTAGGTCAACACAAAGATACTCATTTCAATCATTCAAGTGTGTTAATATTTATCACATGATGTTCAACTTCTTAGATACTTTTACTTTGTTTAAATGATATAAAAGTCAGTTAGCAAATGGCCAAGAGGAAAAGCTATATTATGGTTTAGCTTAATATCTAAATTACTAGTAGTCACCTAAAGTCGTCTCAGAACACTATTTACTCTTACACCTCGAGGAACAGAAAGCACTTACTTGTTTATAAACTGCTCCAGCCCTTGCTTCCTTTCTTCAATAAAATTGTCATCAAATATTCCATCATCTCCTCTAAAAGGAAGTTGACGCAAAAATGCTTTCCCAGGGAGTGGGGGAACTACAACCTGAAATATAAGGAAAGAAAGTTCTTGAACATGCTGACTGGGCTGTGAAAATTACAAGCACGACATGAAGACAAAGTATATCTTCACTTATGAGAGCACCACACTCTTAAATTACGTCAAACATGAAAAGGGAATTGGGGCCAGCCTGGTGGTGGAGCGGTTAAGTTCACACGTTCTACTTTGGCAGCCTAGGGGTTCTCTGGTTTGGATCCCGGGTGCGGACATGGCACCACTTGACATGCCACACTGTGGTAGGCGTCCCACAGATAAAGTAGAGGAAGATGGGCACAGATGTTAGCTCAGGGCCAGTCTTCTTCAGCAAAAAGAGGAGGATTGGCAGCAGTTAGCTCAGGGCTAATCTTCCTCAAAAAAAATTTAAAATTAATAACAATAATAATATATATATGTGTGTGTGTGTGTGTGTATATATATATATATATATATATATATATATATATATATAAAAGGGAATCAGTAAGAACACACTGAAAAAAGATTCAATGTTTTGAAGGCATGATAACCAAATGCAGAACAGCCCATCAGACCAAAGCTCCACAGTGGTGGAGTCCATAGCTTAATTTTCATTTTTCCTGGATTTACCAAAGCACAAGTATACAAAAAGAATACTCAAGCAATACTGAAATAAAGGTTACCATGCCCTTCAGTTTTGATGCCATCTGGGGAAGACAATGCTTTATTGTAACTGCAGAGATCAAAATCAACTCGATTAAGTGAAGAAATAAAATAGTAACAATGTTCTTTCTGGCACAGGCAGCTACGAATTCTGTGGTCAGTTTTTTCCATCTCATACCATCTGCATATAGTCTTTCCTACTTGTTTGAGGTGATGACAAAATAATCGATAACTCTACTTGTTGCCACTCTTCCATCTCGTAGGCTAAGAAGCATGTCAACTTTCTCCCACATCTGCTATCCTATCTTTCCCCAAAGACCTGTCATTCCTTTCTTCCCAAGCTAAAGGAACACCCCAAATATTCTCCTTCAAAGCCTAACCCATCCTCTAGGGTCAACTTATACTGATCTCTCTCCAGAAATTACTTGGAGCTCAAATATTTGTTTGAATTAAACAGCACCTAGCTACTTATTTCACAAGGTAGTTTGGTTTCTCTATCTTAGGGTTTCTCAACACAGTGCTGTTAACATTTTGAACCAGATAATTCTTTTTATGGGGTGAGGAGGGTTTCTTGTGCACTGTAGAATACTTAACAGCATCCCAGGCCTCTACCCACCAGACGCTGCCAGTAGCACCCCTGGTTGTGACAATGAAAACCTTCTCTAGACATTGTCCAATGTCTCATGGGGGACAAAACGCCCCTGGTGGAAAACCACCAATCTATCCCATTAATGCCTTCAAATCAAGGACCCTGTCTCAGGCTTCTTATGGTTATTTTAAGAAAAGGTGAGCATATACCGAAGCTCAAATATCTGTGAAACAACTAACCACTTAGCTGAATCTTTATCTTACACTAAAACAGAGGAAAGGTGTAAGCAAACAATTCACACAGGAGAAAGATAAACAGTAAACACCAGTAATACAAACTATACACATTCTAAAAGAAGTAAAACTTCAAACTCTCAGTACAGAGTTTCTCTCCCAAACAGGGTAAAAAAGAGAGAGATCAACACGACTTCATACAGATTAGGAAAAAACAAAGGGCAAAAAAGAGACACGAAACCAAATGCCCAACCAAAACTTTATAATTCTTTCCTAGATCTACTCTCCCCAGATGACTAATGATGAAGACCTACAGATTTATCTCCAGAAGTCTGCTTTAGCATTCTTGATTCTCTCTCCTGTTTAGCATTTGTCAAGTTGAGAGTTAAAACCTATAGGGACCTTACAACTGAGATCAGGGATCAGGACCACCAACTGAGCTCCAGTAGAATGGCTATCTGATGGGTAGGTAAAAATATCTGTATCTATAAAGCTATTATAAAAAAAGGAATCTAGAACGAGTGCATTAAATAAATGACCACCATTAATTCAGGGCAGAATTTAGCATGAAATTGAAGATTTAAAGATTACTATTATTATCATCTGTAGAGATACATTCTTCCTAACATAACATTCAAAATAGTCATTGAGGGGCCGGCTGGGTGGCGCTTAGCAGTTAGGTTTGCACGTTCCGCCTCGGCGGCCCGGGGTTCGCCAGTTTGGATCCGGGTGCGGACATGGCACCACTTGGCACGCCATGCTGTGGAAGGCCTCCCACATATAAAGCAGAGGAAGATGGGCACAGATGTTAGCTCAGGGCCAGTCTTCCTCAACAAAAAGAGGAGGATTGGCAGCAGATGTTAGGTCAGGGCTAATCTTCCTCAAACAAACAAAAACAAAAACAAAAACAGTCATTGAAACGGATGGTGAGGTTGTAGGCAATAGGATTAACAATCTACAAAAGCCATGAGTGGCCTGTCCAGCTAAGATTCCAAACATCCTCTTCAACATCAAATTATTTTTGCTTCAGCAGTCTGAAAAAATCTAGTTAGACTTCTCACACCAATTTAAAAGTCAGATATGTGAGTGTGCCTGCAGGGAGAGAAGTAGACAGGAGGCTGTTTGGTCTGGATAATCTAGTGAAAGCATACTGAAATAAAAGCCAAAAGATTTAACCATAATGACCAGTAAACACAATAAGTGTCACCTACTTCCTAGCCTACCATAATTGATCTTAGTTAAAAGCACTAATATATAAATAATAACCGATTGTTTTTAGCAATACTGTAATATAAGTACAACTTTCACATAAACCCCCAAGATATTTAACTGGTCTCATGTTAAAAGTGAAGTACTGTGCTTCAAAGGACACCATCAAGTGAAAAACAATCCACAGAATGGGAGAAAATTCTTGCAAATCATATATCTGAGAAAGGACTTGTAAGAGTTTTTTTCTATATTCTAGTTACAACTCAATAATAAAGACAAAAAACTCAATTAAATGGGCAAAGGATCTGAAAAATATGTCTCCACAAAAGATATATAAATGGCCGATAAATACATGAAAAGATCATCAACATCATTAGTCATTAAGGAAATGAAAATCAAAACCATATTGAGATGCCACTTCACACATACTCTAGGATGGCTACAACAAAGATGACAGATAATAGTAAATGTTGATGAGGATGTGGAGAAAAGTGAAACCCTCATACAGTGTTGGTGGGAATGCAGACATGGTACAGCTGCTTTGGAAAACAGTCTGGGAGTTCCTGAAAAGGTTAAACAGAGTTATTACATGACCCAGTAAATCCACTCCTAGGTATATACCAAAGAGAACGGAAAACATGTCCAGACAAAAACCTGTACATGAACATTCACAGCAGCATTATTCACAATAGTCAAAAAATAGTGAGGCCAAGCCCCATGGCCAAGTAGTTAAGTTCGCGTGCTCCTCTTTGGCGGCCCAGGGTTTCACCAGTTCAGATTCCGGATGTGGACATGGCACCGCTCATTAGGCCATGCTGAGGTGGCGTCCCACATGCCACAACTAGAAGAACCTACAACTAAAAATACACAACTATGTACTGGGGGGCTTTGGGGAGAAAAAGGAAAAATAAAATCTTAAAAAAAAAAAGCAGAAACAACCCAAATGTACACTAACTGATGAATGGATAAATAAAATGTGGTATACCCATACCACAGAATATTATTTGGCAATAAAAAGAAATGAAGTGGTAATTAATGTTACAGCAGGATGAACCTTGAAAATACACTCAGTGGAGGAAGCCAGACACAAAAGACTATATATTCTATGTTTCTATTTATATAAAATGTCCCAAAATAGGCAAATACACAGAGAAAGGAAATTAGTGGTTGTCTAGGGCTGGGTGAGGAGAGTTGGGGAGAAACTGGGAGTGACTACCAATGGATATGGGGTTTCTTTTATGGAGTGATTTAAAAGTTCTAAAATTGACTGTAGTAATGGTTGCACAACTTTGTGAATATACTAAGAATCAGTGAATGGTACACTTTAAATGGGTGAATTGTACGTCAATAAAGCTGTTATTAAAAAAAGTGATATATACATTCATCAAATGTTTATTAAACACTCCAGTGTACCTGTGCTATGTTAAGCAAAGCCTAAATCCTAGCAAGACACTTCTTCCTGTAAGTCAGACAGAGAAAGACAAATAGTGTATGATCTCATTTATATGTACAATCTAAAAAAGTTGAACTCGGGCCAGCCCCAGTGGGCTAGCGCTCCGCGTCAGCAGCCCAGGTTTGGTCCCAGGCACCGACCTACACCATTCCTCTGTCAGTAGCCAAGCTGTGGCGGCAGCTCACATAGAAAAAGAGGAAGATTGGCAGCAGGTGTTAGCTCAGGGTGAATCTTCATCAGCAAAATCAATGAATGAATGAATGAATGGATAACTAGATGAATGAATGAATCAATCAATCAATAAACAAATAAATCAATAATAATAAAAAAAAGTTGAACTCACAGAAACAGAGAGTAGTAAAGCAGTGGTTGCCAGGGGCTGAGGCTTGGCGGAAATGGGAGATGTTTGGTACAAACTTCCAGTTATAAGATGAGTAAGTTCTGGGGAACTACAGTTAACCCTATATTGTATACTTAAAAGTTGATAAGAGAGATCTGAAATGTTCTCAACACCAAAAAAAAAAGGGAACTGAGATGACAGATGTATTAACTAACCTTACTGGGGTAATCATTTTACAATACATACATCAAATCATCATGATGTACACCTTAAACTTACACTATGTTATTTGTCAATTATATCTTCCCTATGGCCATAAAAAGTTTCTTCTTTGTTCCTCAAAACTTTCCTAACTTGTTTTGTTTGTTTGTTTATTTATATCTTCTTCTCCCCAAAGCCCCCCAGTACATAGTTGTATATTCTAGCTGTAGGTCCTTCTAGTTGTGCTATGTAGGATGCCATCTCAGCATGGCTTGATGAGCGGTGCGATGTCTGCACCCAGGATCCGAACTGGAGAAATGCTGGGCTGCTGAAGTGGAGGTCATGTACTTAACCACTTGGCCATGAAGCTGGCCCCTGTTTTGTATATTTACATCTACAAACCATCTGGAATTTATATACAGTGAGTTATAAACCTTTACTCCCAAATAATAATAGCCAAATGCTTCAACCCCATTTACTGAATATAAATTCCTTTCCCTGCTGACTGACAATAGTATTTTTGTTATGAACTAAATTTCCAATAAACACATGGGTCAGCTTCTAAATTCTATTACATTACGCTAACCTATTTGCCCACCCCTAAAGCAATACCACGTTGTTTTAATTGCTATAGCTTTAAGATACACTCTGATGTGTGCAGGTGCTCAACACATGTTGAAAAGATTTTTTGGCTATTCTTAAGCTTTCTCTGATTCTAAAGCTCATATATAAATCTGCAAGTTTATAACGAACCCCACTAAGATTTCTACCAGAATGTTATGAGCTTACAAATAAGAGACATTGCCTTACTTCCTTCAGGTCTACTGCTAAAATGTCACCTGAGTAAGGCCTTCCCTTGACCATCCTATTAGGAGTAGCTCTCCTGACACTCCCTATTTCCCTTAGTTTAATTTTCTTTTTCTTACAGCATATCACCATCTGAAATACTATATATCTTACTATATTTTCTGCTTTCCCTCCACCACTCCCCAACTTACCCAATAGAATGTAAGCACCCTAAAAGTAGGGACCTTAATTTGTTCACAGCTCTAACTGTAACTCATAGAAGACATAGAATGAGCTCTCAAATGTTCATAGAGTAAATGAATCTTCAAAAGTGAATATTCCAAACCAGGAATGTAGTATTTCTAATTATTAAGGTCTTTGTCTTTCAGTGAAGTTTTAAAGTTTTCTTTACATGGTTTTTAGATTTCTAGTTCTATGTACAAGATCTTCTTTTGAGTAAAACTGTTTTTCCTTTACATTTTTGATGGAATGCTATGATTCGCTTATGTTGCTCTTGTATCCAGCCACATTTATCAGGTTAAGAAACTTCTCCTTCCATTTCTAGCTTATAATGCTTCAGAAACGAGCACAAGCTAGTCTTACCCTACTTCAGGGCTCCTACCATACCCACTTCTTTTCTACTACACTCTAGTCAAAAAATAAATTTCCATCATTCTAAGCATACCATGCCCTTTCATGACTCCACACCTCTGATGTCATTCTGACGTAGCGCTGAAACAGGGAACACTAGGATGAAACCTTGCTCTAATTTGCTTTGTAGCTAAAGCCACCAAATTTTCTTCCAAGAGAAAACAATTCTTACACCAAGGTATATAACACTGTTTAAAAATTGTAGGTAGCAACCAATCAGTATCAAAAAAGCTGAAGAATATCAGCACATATCACACAGTAAGTACTCCTTTATGAAACTTTTTATATGCACATGTGTGATGATGAAAAAATGTATTTATGATAAGTCAGTAAAAAAACTTGAAATACACTGACATATGAGATGTACTGAGGAAGAGAAACTTGGCAAAGCGTGCAGAGTGGGCAATGTAGAATAGAAAGATGAGGAAAAGGAAGGAATAGCAAGAAAGTTCTAAGAAGTGTTATCCAGTATGAGTCAGCAAAGGTCTCAATTGGGCCATTAACGTAGACAAGAGAAGGAAGAGAGTTCTAGGAAAAGCTACAGACTTCCCCCATCTCCTATGAAATAAGGTGAAATTAAACTATTTGAAAAAAAGAAGTTTGCTTTTACCCACTTTATTCAAGGTAAGTTTCCTGAGAGGTCTTAAATATTAAAATTTGGAATGTTTTGCTTTAAAGTCGCCTTACAAATAATTCTTACCTTGCTCTCTCTTTCTAATTCACTTCGCAGCCATTCAAAGTCACTGTATCTTCTTCTAACAGTAGATTCTTTCAGCTTGAAAATAGGCAGATTTGTCTGAAACAACAACAAAATCCTTCCTAAGTTGAAGCATGTTACAGGGATTCCAAAACAGGGCGGGGGGGGTGGGGGAGGATCTGTTCGTCAAAGTGCTAGCACGGCAAGCCCAGTTACCTTAAGATAAGAAAATCATAGAGTTATTAATATGAAATTTTACCTCTAACAAAATACAACTTGGCTAACTGTTAAAAAGTATGATATTTACACTAGAGAGCAACTTTTAAAATGCACACGTGCTTTTGGATGTCATTCTGAAGGAGGCTAGTTACACAAATACAGGTCATTTTTTTTCTATTTCAGCGAGTAATAAAAATGTCCTATAGAAAAGGGGTGAGATAAAACTAGCTCTGATTGCTATCCCATTTAAAAAGTACTTAGTATGCAATGCTCACGGGGGAAGAGATCTCACTACTTTGAAACGAAATACAAAATATTTTATTATGACTAGATCAGATGTTTCACAACTAAAGAAATGAATAAAGGGTTAGTCTTCATGGTCTTTTAAAAAATGCCAGAAAAGAGGAGTGAAGGAGTGCAATGTTGCATTCTTACAACTTGTAGGAAACCAGGAGTCATGCACATTAGATCAGGTTCATAGATCCAAAGCGTTACAGGCTGGGGGCAGTTTAAGAACTGAAAACATGGAGGCCAGGCCGGTGGCACAGCGGTTAAGTTTGCACGTTCTGCTTTGGTGGCCCAGGGTTCGCTGGTTCTGATCCCAGGTGCAGACACTGCACCACTTGGCAAGCCATGCTGTGGTAGGCGTCCCATTTATAAAGTAGAGGAAGATGGGCACAGATGTTAGCTCAGGGCCAGTCTTCCTCGGCAAAAAGAGGAGGATTGGCAGCAGATGTTAGCTCAGTGCTAATCTTCCTCAAAAAAAAAAAAAAAGAACTGAAAACATATGCCCAGCGCTTTGAGGTGACACTGGAATGGAAGACTGTTTATTACCAGACTGTGAAGACTACTTCTGTCAACTTCTAAACTTAAAGTAGCAGGAAAGATTTCTGTTATCTTTTACTGATCCCTATAAAATGAGAAATTATACCACCAAATCCAATTTAAAATGGTTTATGACTAAGGACTATTAGCCAAAGCTGTATACCTCCATGATTTTATCATCAAGAACAGATTTTAGGGGCCAGCCCGGTGGCATATTGGTTACGTTTGCACACTCTGTTTTGCCAGCACAGGGTTCGGATCTTGGGCGCAGACATACACACTGCTCATCAAATGATGCTGTGGTGGCATCCCACATTCACAAAAAAAAAAAAAGAATTAAAAAAAATGTTTTAGAAGATTTTAAAATGCATCTAATGTCATAAGGTTTACAGGGGACAGAAATGATCTAACACAATTAATGCCATACCATACTGAAATGCTATTTAACACTATATACTCTTAGATTATATTTTGTCCTTAATTCAGTCCTTGTACTCTTAGAACTGCAAACTGTTTTCAGCTGAAAAGAAAAAAGTTAAGTGGCACCAGAAGGAAAAACTGGCTTCTTACTTTGTATACAGGGACATCATCATCATCATCATGTAAAATTCACTCCTAAGAAAATTCCAATCATTTAAACTTAATGGCACTGGTAAGTAATTGTCATTCCGCAAAAGAAAAGCTTTTTATTCAGGACTTTTAATCCATTTTGTAGTGGTCTCAATTTTTTCCAAAGTGTATTAACTTCTCTATGTGTATACCTTACAGCTTCGAATCTTCTACAAACACTATTGGGCATAACACTGTATACATTTCAAGCATGAAACCAAATCTCACAAGAGGTTTAAAAGCACTTGAATTTTCTTTCCCAGGTAACCACAACATTTGTTCATTGTATTAATGACTAAGAGCAGAATTGCACCTAACAAGACTCTTATTATACTAAAAGTCAAGCTTATATTGAGAGACGCCGGCTTGCTGTACAGAGGGGTATTCTCATTCCCCACAGGGAATACAATCAAGTCCCCTGGAGAGCAGGATGATAATTCCCAGAAAGAAAGCACTGGATTATTTCTCTCTAATTTCATCCATTGGCTTCTTAACCAAGTTCACCCTTCCGCATTAAAATATTAAGTCTTTGTAAGTGTCTAAAGATAGAAAGGCCTTTACAGAATTGAGTGTTTTCTGCAGGTGAGATTTTACATTTCGAATTCCCTCCTCTCAAATTACTTTAGAAAAGGGATTAGCTGCTCTCTTTATTCAATATGTTAAGATCAAGCCTGTGAAAAGAGTTCCCTAAGAATTTTCATACTTCTGGGCACGGAAGTCTCTAAAGTTAATCTCTGAAACAACATATCAAGCTTACAGGTACAATGTTGAGGGAAGAGTGCCAATTCAGCTCAACTTACCTTCCATTTTCCCTTTTGAACTTTTGACACAATCGTGATTATATCTGATTCACTTTAATAGAAGGGGAGTGGGAGGGAGAAAAAGTCCATTCCTTTCTGTGATTAGCTAACAGTTTGATAGATTAGCAAAAAAGGCATGGTTAGTTTAAGAAAATTCTTTTATTCAGTTTTCTCAGCTAGCTATGATTTCTCCATATGAGGACTGCTTTAGAGTTCTGATAAGTCACGTCAAGTAATTCTTAATATTATCTGCCCACTACATTTAGAGAGTGGTAAGTTTGCCTGTTAACTTCTTCCTGGTCATCACAAGGAGTTTAAACTCAACTTGATCAAAATACAAATGAAAAACGCCAAGGTTTTTTTGTTTAAGCCACTGAACTATCACTGTTGACTACAAACTCTTATGACTGGTCACTTTCAACTTATTTAACCCTTAAAAAATGTTCTATTTCAGTTTTCTAAAGATAGAAGAGTAAGGATTATTTTTTTCTTAGAGTTTTGGGAGGATTCAACTATAATGACAGTTTGGGAGCATCTATAAAAGGGCATAGAGCTGGATAAGGAGGGGAATATGATGATGAATAAGATGTAATCCTGACCCTTATGAAGCTGATAATACATTACGGAGGTTAGAAGATAAGCGTATAAAAAGTTAAATTTACGTGGTTAAAAATATCGTACTATGGGGGCCGGACCAGTGGCGTAGTGGTTAAGTTTGAGCATTGCACTTTGGTGGCCTTGGGTTCACACGTTCAGATCCCAGGCATGGACCTACACACTGCTCATCAAGCCATGCTGTGGTGGCATCCCACATGCAAAGTAGAAGAAGACTGGCACAGATGTTAGCTCAGCCAACAATTTTCCTCAAGCAAAAAGAGGAATACTGGCAACAGATGTTAGCTCAGGGCCAATCTTCCTCAACAAAAAACAAAACCAAAACCAAAAAAACACTGTAAACAAAAACAAAGCTGAAAGACCAAGAATAAACTGTAGACAAATATTTGCAACATAAAACAAAAGGATAACCTTATTAAAATGTAAAGAATTAAAAACCAATGAAAGATAAAGATGAATAACCTGACAAATAAAATAGGCAAAACACAGAAAAACTAGTGGCCAATAATGTTCAACTTCACTCACACAAGAAATGCTAGTTAAAACAGTAAGATCCCATTTTCTTTTTTTTAAAGACTGGCACCTGAGCTAACATCTGTTGCCAATCTTCTTTTTTTTTTTTTTCTCGTTCTTCTTTTCCCCAAAACCCCCCAGGACATAGTAGTATATTCTAGCTCTGCTATGTGGGACGCCGCCTCAGCATGGCTTAATGAGCAGTGTCATGTCTGCACCCAGGATCCAAACCAGCAAAACCCTGGGCCGCCAAAGCGGAGCTCGAGAACTTAACCACTCGGCCACAGGGCTGGCCCCGCCTCAATTTTCATTTACAACACCAGCAGGTATTAAATTTTAAAACCCAGTGAGTGAGGGGAGAGAGAGAGGGGTGCTAAAAACTCCAGTGACGGGAGTGAAAACTGGTACAAGCTTTAGGGAAGGCATTTTGGTGACATCTATCACTCTTTTAAACGCATTTATCTTTTGAGCCAACGATTCCACTAGGAATTAATCCTACAAATATTTCCATACATACAAAAAGATATTGTGGCATAGAACTTTACTTTAGCCTTGTTTATGGAATAGCAAACAACAACAACAAACATAAAAAGAAATATTACACAGCTTTTACAACATATAACTTGGCCATAGACCGGTAAAGAAGCCAAACTGAGATGTGTTAAATACAATAAGTTTCAGAACAGTATATAAAGTATGAACCATTTATATGATTTAAAAAAGCATAAAGAAATTGACAATTGATTTGGCCAGTATTCCTTTAACAAATGGAGTCAGCCATTCTAGAGGAAAACAGTTGAGAATGGTGAAAATAGTGTGAACCACACACAAAAAAGTAACACGTATATTTAGGAAGTAATTCATGTACATTCTAGAACATAGGAGATGACTGGAAATAGAAGTGAAAAGGTTAAACCATGCCCTAAACATCTGGCTAAGGTATCTACCTGTGAGCACCAGGAGTTAATAACATCTCAACAGGAAAATATCTTTGAAACAGAAAATGGAACAGAGAAGTTACCACAGAAGTAGAAGCTACAGATTATGACAGATTAGCTACATGTATATGTATGGGGCAGCACTAAGAACAGTTGGTTTTATTCTCATCACAAGAAAAAAATTTTTTTTCTAACTATGTATGGTGATGGATGTTAACTAGACTTATTGTGGTGATCATCTTGCAATGTGTACAAATATCGAATCATTATGCTGTACACCTGAAACTAATACAATGTTGCTTGTCAATCATACCCCAAAAACTAAAAACAGTTGGCTCTGGCTCGTTCTGCTTGAAGAATACGGACAAGAGTCACACTATGGAGGCAAATTATAGGAAAAATTCCTTAAAGGTTTTACTTTGGATCTCATTTAAAATGCTTTAGAATTGTCCAGAGAGAAATAAAGTGCTGAATTCTGAAATTAAATGTAAATCAGACCAAATATGGTTAACTTACTTTAAGATGACTAAAACTTTTGAAACTTAAACAGGATTTAGTATTCTCTCATCCTGACATTTAT